CATAACCAAATAACAATCCATGGTTATTGCAATGAGCAAGATGAACTTAAGATGATGTACTATGCATCAGTCATCATTGTCCTGCCTTCACGCACTGAAGATTTTGGGTTGGTTGCCCTAAAAGCAATTTCGGCTGGTATTCCTGTTCTTGTTGCAGGTGAAACTGGAATAGCTGAGGCTTTACTTGAAGTAGAAGGTGGAAAGTCTGTCATCGTTGAATCAGATGACCCTGAAGAGTGGGCTCGAAGGATCCATCTACTGTCCAGGCAAAGTCAAGCAGAGAGAGAAAACAGTGCCAAGCTGCTCAGAGAAAACTACAATAAAACTTACTCTTGGAGCAACGAATGTAAGAGATTCAAAAGGATGATCGAGGATTTAGTAGAAAGCTTAAACGGTATGTTTACTAAGCCTACCAGTTCCACCACAGCTTTTTCTAGGTACACGTAAAGTCTACAAAGTATGTGATAATCAGAGTCACACATTAAACTGCTAAAACTAGCATTCCAAGGCCTGTTTTCCACATAACAGCCACATGCTGAAGAAATGGTTCAGCATGTTAATTAACAATTATTCCACAAGCGCGTGTTGGATATGAATTGGCCATAACCCAAGTTCTCATACCCAACAAGCACAACTGGAGTTATTGTTTTATTAAAAATGCCCTCAAAACATAGAAAACTAAAATAATATAAAAATAAAATTCCCCCCCCTCACAAATTATGCCTTTGCTTACATTGTACTATATGTGTAGAGCATGATATAATGGCTCATACACCATGATGTCTATTTAGCCAATGAAAATTCTTGAAATGTCTTATTCAATGATCCAGTTTTAATAAATAAACAATAGCCTCCATTTGGCGGGAAAATATGCTTGGATATTCGTGCGCCGGCATTATCTGTTCTGAGAAGCGAACAGTTATCCGAGAGGGAAGCTCAAGGAAAACTGTAAGCTTCGAGGAACAGATGATGTCCAAGGACAAAATTATTTTATATACAAGCATATTAGCATATTTTAAAGTCGAATGGAGTTTTTGTGTTTATTATCCTTCAAATATTTTTCGCAACAGAAAATTGGGGAATATCACTCGGATATCAAGTTCTCCAGTTTTAGCTGGGGCATATTCAGTC